CCGACCTGTGGTTAAGTTTCAATAACTTACAAATTGATTTTATTCACAGACCCCAATATCCTTCTCATCTGACCATAAAACCTCTTTCCATAAAATTTCAGTCAAGCTTTGTTGTTTTTTTTTTTGTTTTGTTTAGTTTTTTCTGACCAATACTCTCTCCATCTTCATCATTGCTGAACTGTGACCAGGGCAGTGAAACTGGTTTTCCAGCAGACTCCAGTTGCTTTCATGAAAACCTTGAACCTTGCTGGTTGCTGTGTCAGCAAAATTCAAATGATGTTATTCATGCATGACAAATAAGTTTAAAAATGAGCCCAAATCCATCAACATCTTTCTTCTTACTGGAGTTAATATTGATGTTTTGGAGTGGTGCAGCCAAAGTCCTGACTGGAATCTGAAAGAGAATCTGTATAGGGGAGCTAAAGATTAGGGTGATGGAAGGAGGCCTGCCAACAAAGACTTGGAGAGGAATTATGAAAATATGAGAGGAGACAAGATGGCCAGACATTATAAGAAGGGCTTGATTGTTATTAGAATAAAGATTGAGCCATTCAGGAGGATATTAGAAATATTTGACTTGCAATTTTTAATTAAATGTAAACCCAATCCTTTCTGTTTTGTTATGTTTTGACAGAAACACAGATTCCAATTAGAAATAAACAGATGTAACTGTACTTTTCTGACCAGAGCTTGAATGCAAGTTTTCTGCATGTTATGCTATTTCTCACACACTGACAGAGCATCCCTCCCACCTGTTGCAGGTACGGGTTTGGAGTGTTGGACGCTGGGCTGATGGTGCAGCACGCTGCGCTGTTCCAGGGAGCTGCTCCACAGAGGAAATGCAAGCAAGAGGTTGCATTTAATCCAGCCAGGTACAGAAACTTCTTTGAAATTATTATTATTAGTAGTATCAGTATTAGTAGTAGTATTATTGTTGTTGCTGTTGTTGTAGATCCTTCTCTGCTGGAGGCCAAGTGAGCATCGGCATCGAATCTGATGCCTGCCGAGGGAGAGCTGATGAAGTCAACACTTTGGAGCATGTGCAGGTGTGCAGTCGAAAAATATCTTATCAACAGATTTAGTGTAAAAGGTGCAACTTTTTGTGCTAGAGTTCAATTTTACGCTACAGCCAAGTCAGTTCAGTTTTAAGGTGCAAGCAAGAACCCAACAGAAATGTTTGAAAACGTGAAACTAAAATTGAACTTTTAACACCCACTACTTTCTAAACATTGTTCAGTTCCGCCATGACGAGTGTCTGTTTTTGAAGCCACGAAACACTTGCATTGTTACCTTCATTTAATCATCTAAATTGCTGTTGTGTGTTTTGTTTGCTGCACACACCTGATTAATATTTAATTCTACCAATACACTAAATCGTCAGGGGAGATTAAATCGTTTTAGGTGTGATTGTAAGAGGTTGTGTTTTCTTTTTTTACAGATTCAACAAATGGGATGTAAAAGTAAAATCGGTGAAGTTTAAAGGGCCAAGTGCATGGATTTTGTTCTCTTTGACAGTTTTCCCTTTATCTTACCTCTAAGCCTAGATAAGTTAACCCTGATGCAGCTTCTGTGAGAATGATATGGAAGATAAGATCAGATTGGTTTCGGTCTCTTCATCCAAGTCTCGGCAAGAAGTGAAAATAAAGTTTATTTTCCAAAAATGGAAAACTTTTACTCTGAAGTAGAGAAAGAGATATTTGTCTATTTGACATGTCCTCACAGTGCTTTGTAGAAGTATTTGCACCCTCCTTGAACTATTTTTTGCATTTTGTCACCTTACAATTTATGTCTTAGTACTTTGTAGATCCACTTTTCACTTCGATCTTTTGGGAAATGATTCCCAGCTTTTTGCACATGCAATGCGACATCGCCATATTCATCTTTTCCTAATAGCTGAAGTTTAGTCAACTAGATAGAGAGCGTCTGCAAACATCAATCTTCAACTATTGCCAGAGATTTTCAAGATGTTTTAGTTCTGAATCCCAGCACATGACTATGCTTTGATCAAAGCCATTCCATTGTGGCGTGGCTTCACTTTTCACTGGTGGAAAATGAAACACTGTCCCAGTCTGAACAGGATTTTTTCTTAAGACATGCAATACTACTGTGTGTCTGCAAAATAAAATCATAACATACATAGAATAGACATGCAAGTTGTGGATTAATGAGTTGATTGATCTTATTGATAGACTAACGATTAACTGATAAGTGGCCGTTTTCTTAAAAATCTGAATTTTCTCATTTCAAGAGAGTCAGCCATCCTTCCTTGACATAAAAGGCTCATTTTTTTCTAATAAAAAAGTCATTAAATTTTAACATTATTTTATGTCAGCTCTATGAAATTCTGACTGAACAAACAGAAATTATTGTTCTGTCACATCACTAAACTTAGACATATTTATATGATATCACAAAGCAGGAACCTCTTAGGTTGCTGAATAGAAAAATAAAGATAAAAAGAATAAAATATGTGAAACACTTAGTCCCACATGAACAGAGAAATACTCTTCCAGAAGTGAATGTTAAAACTTTGCTCTATAAGTTGGATTAACTCACGACAGGCTTCAAAGTCAACATTGCTTATTGGCATCATGTTTTCTTTTTCATCATGTTACATTTTTTCTGTAATGCCCTTCTTCTTTTCTGTTATCATCTTAAGTTGTTTTTTCCCCCCCAAATCAACTGAAGGAGCTTGTCAAGTGTTTATATTTCAAAACAGAATGGCATAAGGTGCATTTTGCATCCCACACTGGACTCTTTTTGGATGGTTTCACTTTCCCGTTCTGGTATACCCCCGCCATCTTTATTTCTGTATGATCTGGCTCTGCTTAAGGATGAAAACTACAGCATTAAAAGAGAAGGTCTGAGTGGCTCTTACTAATCAATTAGAACTCATTTTAATCTTATAAAGCATTTATTGCCAATGAATCATAAGTCAATTAATTGCTTGCATCATATTTGTAACAAAACCTTTAAAAGTGCAAGAGGGTTTGGGATACTTTTGTAAGTTGCTGTGTGTCTCTGTTTGCCGTTGAAGTCCGTGTTGTGCTACAGACGCTCCGTGTTCCCGTTGTCCTTGAAAACGTGCAAATCAAGCAGAACTAGTTGCTAATTCAGACTTCTGCAAACAGCCTCAGAGGTTTGTCATACAAATACTTTTCCAGTGTCTCTGTCATGCGCCGTATCTGAGAATAGAAAAGATAGAGGAGATTAAAAAAAAGAATCCAACTGTGATGTGTAATGTGTTGGCAGTGTCATTTGCAAAAAATGGCAAAACTGTGTTTTCTTGAGTACTGCCACATACATGCAAATGTGTTTATATTTGATTGTGACAGCAGGCATACGTGTCTGGTGGTGCACATTTGAGTTTGAGCGAGTTATCTGTGTTTGTGAGTTTGTGTACTTGTGAAATAGCAGAAAGAGAGAGAGAGAGAGAGGGAGAGGGAGTGTGTCAGCATGTAAATTGAAAAGGCTTCATCTTTGCGGCTCTGCTCCCTGGCAGAAAGCGTGGGTCAGGCCATCGCCGCGAGGTGTGATTGATGGACGTGTTGCCGTGGTAACATGCCGTAAACAGGAGCAGGCTGTCAGTCTTTTTGCAGCTTGGCGGCTTTCTCTGCGATGTGCCATTGTCACACCAGATGTGCTGCTTGTGATGAACAGGGACAGGGAGGGTGTTTACCGGGTGGTGGTAGAGTGGGGTG